TGACCCCGGGAGCCCCAGCACCCATGCCCGGTAAGTGCTGTGGGCCCCCGCACCGCCTCCCCCTTGCATGCAGCCCTGCCCCGAATGCCCCACGCCGTGGGCTCCGCTCGCCCGTCGCCGAGGTCAGGCCCTGTCTGACCCGCTTCTGGAGCCTGCTAAGGAAACACCACTGTGTAACCTGCAGGTCTGCTCCTCGGCTCTGGTTTTTATTCTATGCCTTGAATGCTTTCCCATCACCTAGCAAGCACCTTGCGGAGACAGCAAGCAGCCAGAGTAAAGAGCTTGCTTACCGTCCTCCAAATCATTCAGTTCATACTGCACATATGTTGTAAGTCTGGGCATGTAAACAGGGATTCAAACTTCCAAGGAAGAACTACCTGGGTCCTAACTCCAGAAGGCTTACTGCAGAGGCTAAAACAAGCTTATAAAAATATTGAAACCTAAGCAAGGAGGGATCTATGCCAACAATAACGTGGCAGCCCCTCGTGGTGGACAGCCTCCCCAACAGCTGGCGTGTAGGGCTGCAGCATCCCAGCACCGCTTCATCTCCACATGCCCTGGTTCTGCATCACAGCTGAACACAATCAGCAGCTTCACCTGATGACAAGGGGTTATTTAATAAATACATGTTTTCTCCTTAGACACAAAAGACTCAATTTATTTCAATAGTTGACTTTATGATTAGCACTGCACTGTGCCCTAAGCTATTATCTCGGTTGCTGATTGACCAGACAGGATGAACTAAAAAGAAATGAGCCAAATTTCCCTTACTCATTAAAGGCAGAGAGCTCTCTTAAAATGAATAAAACTTCACCTGTCAACCACCATGTAAAAATAAAAGCAGAATTTGGCCCAATATCAGTAGCTGGGTCAGAAATGTTAGACCATTCTGCAGCTAACATATGCAGTGCTATAAACACATTAAAAAGAAGGCTGGAGGCTCATCCTCTTACTCGTAAGCCATGGGGACTGTGTACCATGCACTGAGCTAGAGCACCCCTCATCTTAACCATCATTACTGCTAAAAAGGGACAGACTGGTCTCGGGAGTAGAACACAGAACAACTGCTGAGAGCAGTGAAGACTTAGAAATGGAGAGGACAAGTGAAACAGAGGAAAAATCCTGTAGAGCTTGCTTCAACTTTTGTGACCCATGAAATGTTATTTTTTCTTTAACATACCTATGTCAGAATACAGACTAAAAATCGCCAACCACAGTCATTTGTACTGCTGATACTACACCTGTAGGACGTGCTGCATTAATTTCTATTATGCTCATTTGCACTAAAGCATTTCTCTGAGTCAGGTCTTCTAAAACTGTAAGACCCTGGCAATGTGCAAAGGCATACTTGGGTATGGCCATCAAAACTAGAAGAGAAGAATTAGAATTCAAACAGTCACAAAATCAAGGTATCAATTCTTCCATACTTTCTGAAAAAGAAAAAACAACTGGCAAGCATTTTACACTTACAGAACTTCCATGCTCAGGACTTAATTTGAATTCACATTTCCTCATACCCCACATTCTTACAAAAGGAAACTAGATTACCAGTTTAGCACAAACAGATTAGCCTCTATATTAGCATTAATCCATAACAAAAGGACACTTGTTTCCTGTTCCTCAGAATAATTGTTCTCATAACAGCCTGGCTAGCTGCTGCTCAGCCCACTCGTGGGCTGCAAGGACCACAATGGCCAGGAGCAGAGTAGTGGGAGCCATGACTGAGCAGAGGACTCGCAGGGAGGCTGCCAGGCCATTTGGGCAGTGAGCTAAAGCAACACACCTGGAGAGGGGCTGAAAGCCCTGGCTGCTATGAGTGCATCAGAAACAGAAGAGTGAGATATGGTGCCCTGGGGGCACTACGGTGAAGTTAATGCTGGGGCTGTAGTGTTTGCTCAAGTGCTCTGTAGCTGAAGGACATTCCATATCACTGATTGCAACGTGGCAACAGCAAAAAGATCAGTAATACATTTGCAACTTTTGTGCTTCTTATAATCCTATTTAATAAATTAAATGGCATCAAATTACTATTCTGAGCTCTACTCACACCTAATAGTGCTGACTGAATACATTGTGCTTATATTGTCTTTATTTGCTTTGTACTGTTACAAAGACAGATGACTTAACTGTAAGAGCCCTACTAAGCACGAGCTGACAAAAAGAAAGGAATAAAGCACAATTGGAGATTTACCTGAGGAGCCATATACGTACTACATGTTATTTTCACATAGACAAGCTATTCAGATTCTCAAGCACTTTTACTCATGCTTTACCTTATACAGGGGAAGCACCCTGGGGTCTATAGTATTTCATATTTTTTCATTTATTGCTAGAACACTTCAAACACTAGAAAAACACCCATTTTCAAACTCCATCAAAATCTGGCTGAAGTTCTTTACAGATTTATTTACTGTTGTTATATGCATAATATAAGCTTGCTTAAGGCAAGATAGATATGTTGTTACTGTAAGCACTGAAAATCCTTACATAAAAGTTTTCAGCAGTGAGTTAAAGGAGGAAACTTCTTTCAGTCTTGGGTATCTCCACAGAATTCGGAGTCTGAAGAAAGAAGCAAAGATAGAAATATAAGAAATAGTTAGAAAATCAAAAAGCAAGAACATTTTAGAGAGGCACTAAAAGCAGCTGGAGTTCAGTACCTTATTGATAAGGGAGAAATGTAACAGCTGCAATAGCAATCTCCTCCTTACACTAGGAACACTGCCCAAAAGAAAAGCAGCCCACGTGTCCCTGGAAGGCAGTTTCATAGCCTGCTCGCACCACCTGTTACACGGACTTGGGGCAGAACTCAGCTTTCCCATGAAATGTTAAACCCAGAGCCAGAGAGATTCTGGCCTAAGCCTGCAGCCCCAGGGCTCGGAGGTGGACAAGATCCACCCACGTCCGGCAGCACCAGACACAGGCAGCTGGGTGCCAGGCACAGCGCAGAAGCGGCTCCTGCAGCCTCCAGCTCCTGCACACAGATGCCAAAACAAGCCCGGGGTCAACCACCACCCAGGCCTCTCACCAACTGCCTGCCCTTGGCTCGTGAGCGATGAACTGAATAAATAGCTTCAGGAATATGAGGAATTTTGCTAAGTGTCCAGTTTTACTGCTGTGAAACCATCAACAGGCCAATCATACAGAATCTGGTTTTATCTGAAATAATCAAGCTACAGGAAATAGTTTTCTGAGTATGCATAAATTTGTCTTTCCAGATCAGAAAATGTACACACCCTTGGAAAAAAAAACCCCAGAGCTTTGCTTATTCTATTCTTTGCTTCCTATTCCCCATCCCAAATCTCTTGCATTGCAGTCATTGTCAGAGTATCTGAATATTTTCTAATCACTCACTACTACTGTCATACAGCTTCAGCTGTTGCTGAATATTTTCTAATCACTCACTACTGTCATACAGCTTCAGCTGTCGTGCCATGCTATGTCCAAAGACAAAAGTATGCAGGTGGGTAGAATACTTCATTTAAAATTCATTTTTTCATCCATTTTAGAATGTAGGTCAAATAATCTTGTCAATTTTAATATTTTTGTCAATTTGTCTTGCCAATTTTAATATTTTTGCCCCCCTGTAAAAATACACAATATTAATCCTGCTATGTTGATTTATGTATTTCTATGTTTGAACAGAACAAGTAATTGCTGTTCTTGGAGGTGTAATAGGAGGAATCCTTCTGTTTGTTCTCATTGGAATTACTGCATATCTACTCTGGAAGAAATTGTGCCTCTTCTCTTCTTATGAAGAGCTTACTAGTCCTGTCTCAACAACACCTGCAAAGGCCCTTTTGCAGAATCAGCCATCTTCTGAAACTCAGCCAAAAGACACAAGGTACCTAATCTTGCTTTGTTTCTTGAGCATAAGCTATTGCCCACTATTTCAACGTGTCAAAGCTCAAATGGGGGACGATCTAAATATGCAGACATAAGGCCCGCAATCATACACAACTCAGTCATGTTTTCTGTCATTCTTTAAGAAAATACTTCTGTTACTATGAATGCAATTTTTTTTTCATAGATCATAGAATCATAGAATGCTTAAGGTTGGACGAGCCCTCTAGAGGTCACCTAGTCCAACCCCCCTGCACACGCAGGGTCACCTAGAGCACGTGGCACAGGACTGCGTCCAAGCGGGTTTGAAGATCTCCAGAGAAGGAGACTCCACAACCTCTCTGGGCAGCCTGTTCCAGTGCTCTGTCACCCTCACTGTTAAAAATTTTTTCCTTAAGTTTCTGTGGAACTTTTGGTGCTTCAGTTTGTGGCCATTTCCTCTAGTTCTGTCGGTGGCCACCAGGGAAGAGAGGCCAGCACCAGCACATTTTTTTCTAATTTATACAATTTGCTAGTAAAAGATATTGCCATCATGTGTAATCAGTTCATGGTTAGTTTTATATTATCTAGAAAGAGAGAACCCACAGGCCAGAGTCATTCCTATGAGCCTGAGAATGAAACATCTGAGAACCTGGCAATATGAATTCAGCTCTGAAAGGGGCCACAAAGTTACTGGTGGAGTTCTGGGCTCTCAAACAAGATGTAGCAGTTCATTCTTCCTTTTCCTTTGAAAGGTGATTTCCACAGGAGAAAAAAAGGGCAAAGGGCAAAGTGAGGGAGCATTCTAAAGACAAAGATTGGATCGCCCTAGCTGGACCTTTAGGCACTATACAGATGATACCCTTTATTTTACAACTGTTACAGTTTCTGCTTACTTATCTCTGTATCGCTTTTACAAAACCAAAAGAACCTAAGTATATTGCCCTGTTACCAAGTTTGATTTTCCTATTTAAACTAGAGGAGTCACTAATTGTTGTTGTTCTGAGCAGATCTAGAAGTGTTCCATTTATCATTCCACCCACACTGCATGGGAGAGACTGGATTAACTTGATGAACGAAGAACAGGTTCAACAAGACAGTGACCCCTACGTGATTCCTCAGCCTGGGCCACGGTCGTCATTTCATTCCTTGGGTAAGCATTGCAAAAGTGGGACATTTGGAAGGGGAAGTAGATTATTATACCCAGGGACCACAAAGCAGCCTTTCATCCTATTTTTATAGAGGAACAACATGGGGGCTCATGTGAAGTGTCCCACTGTTGCCTCCAGATATAGCAGGACCACTAGCAGATAAGGTTGTTGATTGCAACAGCAAATATCCGGAACTATCAAGGTGCAGTCACAAAAAAAAAGAGAAAGAAAAGAGAAGGTGGAAGCCTACAACTACTCACTCACACTTCAGAGAAGAGGAGTTCAAATCCTGAGATAGATTGTTAGTAAAGAGATTAACATGGTTTTCCTAATACAGCAGTGGTTATGAAAATGCCTGCTACAGTCTTGAGACTAACCTTCTGATGCTTGTTTTGTGTTTTGGGAAGCCGGAGCTTATGTTGTAGGGACCATTAACCCAGAGCTGTACAAGTTTCCTGAAGACCAAAGTGAGACAGATTTTCCTGAGGGCAGCATTGGCCGTCTCTGGTTCTCCGTAGAGTACGAGCAAGAGTCGGAAAGGCTCCTTGTCTCCTTGATTAAAGTCAGAAAGCTGCAGCCTCCTGCTGATTCCTGCAGTCCGTTTGTGAAAATCTACTTGCTGCCAGATGAAAGACGGTACTTGCAGTCTAAAACAAAACGGAAAACCCTCAACCCACAGTTTGATGAAAACTTTGTTTTTCAGGTACTTACTTTTTGATGAAGTAGAATTTTGTTTGCATAGATTGACTTGTCACACCAAACAACTTGTTTTTTGAAAAGGAATAGTTTTCTACACACTTCTACCAAAACACAAAATTGTTTTTCTTTTTACTACTGGACCTTGTGGAGATCCTGGGCTAAATAAGTCTGTGGCTACAGGAACTGATCTTACATGTGTGAACTGCACCAAAGATTCCAGGGTTGCTGCCCTGGGAAGAATGAAAACATGAATCTGAACTAGAGCTGTGCAGCACAGCAGCTCTTGAAGTCAAGGAGCAATCCAGTTTAACCAAGGCTTTCATTGCTTCTAGGTTATTTGCTCTGGAAGCAAGATAGATAGCAGAATGTATTGTACAATATATTTAAGATGTATTGTATAATATTTAAGTAGCTAGGAGCCTGGCTTCCAAGCTCAAGGCCTTATGGTCTCACAGAGAAGCTTTAGAAGTGATGAAGCTTGAAGTTTAAACAACTGAAAGGTGAAATGTTTACAGAAGACTAAGTTTTTGTGTCTACAAATGAAAGCATCATATAATAGTCGTTATGGGTTGAAAAACTGCTCATTCTTCACAGTTCCTAAACTTCACATTTTCCAATTGAGCTAGTTCTATTTTAGCTTGGATCTTTCAATTCCTGCATAACTAAAACTTTAGGCAGATTAAGAAACTGGACTTTAAATAGTCAAAGGAAATCTCCACCTGCCTCTAATGCTTGGAGAAATTCTTCTTTGAAGTCATATCAGAGTAGAAAAGACTCAGATGCAAATATATTTATTAACATACTTTTCTTCTTCCTGTACAGGTTTCCAGTAAAATGTTATTTCAAAGTACTCTGAAATTCTTGGTTTATCATGTTGATAAGCAGAAGAAGCACCATCTCCTAGGCCAAGTTATTTTTCCATTGAAAAATGAAACTCTAACTGATGACAGCAAAATAGTTATATGGAGGGATTTGGAGAAAGACAACTTGGAGGTAGGCACACCCCAGTCTCCTTCGCATTGAACATCTCTCTTATCTTACAAGTATTGGAGGAATATAGGCGAGGTGGAAAAATATTGTATCAAATAATAGTACCAAATATAAAAGTATTTGATAAATATTTGGTATAATTCCCATGTTACTAACTCGTAACTCCACAGGCTCCTGGTATAATCATCAATCTAACTGCTACAAAAACAGTTACTTGAGTTAAAAGGAGACAGTTATATAAGAAATCTCCTATTGCTGTTTCCAATTAGTAAAAAAATTTTAAAAAGCACAAGAGGAAACAGGCATCACTTGTAAAACAAATTACAAAGTTCAAAAAGACAGAAAGAGGCTCCTTATGCGTATTAGTCTGAAGCAAGAAATGAGACTACCATAGCAGGAGAGCAAGGTTTGACTACCACTACACATTAACCCCAAAAGGAGAGAGGAAGCTGACCATTGGTGAATAAAGTAGTAACTCAGATACACAGGAGGAAGGGAACAGCTGCCTGCATCACTGTTTCAGATCATCTAAACAGCCTGCTTTGGAGGGGTGTCGGGTAAAACTGGGACCTTGACTGGAACAACTTGTTTGCTTAACTAAACATATCTATCCCTGTAAATGAAAAGGAGGGACCAATTCAGAATATCCTGCAAACAAATAGTGACAGTATTTTCAATTGTTTCCATCAAATGTTACAATAGTGTAGGTAAAGGCAATGAAATTCAGTAATGCACTTGAGTGTGGCAGAAACCACTGGTGTCAAGAGACATCTCCTACTCCCCTTTGTCCCCCCATTTGATAGCTGAGGGTTTCAAGGTATATTTGACTAATGCTCTTCTGCTTCCAAAGCCTCCATCAGAGTATGGTGATATCCAGTTCTCTCTCAGCTACAATGACTACCTGGGCCGCCTCACTGTAGTGGTTCTGAGAGCAAAGGGACTAAAGCTCCAGGGCGAGAGCCATACTGCCAGTAAGTGCAATAACCTTCCTCTCTGCTATCAGCTCCACAATTCCTGTTCTAATTTGCTCCTTCCTCATCTGTCCACCCAAGCTTACAGTCGGTAATTCTCCGTAGAAAAAATAAACATCAGGCTGATTTCATTTGTGTGGAAGCAAACCATAACTTGGCTACGGGGATAACAAAATTAATTGCTCTGTTTTGCTATGCTTTGATTTTGTATCACAATAAATGGTTAGTCCTACACCTTCAGTAATTTTTTTTCCCCTTGATCTCTGTTCTTTTATGCAATGAGCATAAAAGAACCATTATTCTACTGTATTCCAGTCCAAAGCAGGTAGTACTTCAGGCTACAGCTACATTTTAAAAGTTGCCCCAAGGCAAACAATTATGAGGCAAAAACCTGAAGGTAGCTACTGCAGGACAACTGCTCCCATTGAACCACTGCCCTGGGAGAGAGTTGAAATGCAAGAAAATTCCCAATTTAGGGTAATCAGACCTCAGTTAAGGGAAATCACATGACAGTCACATTTTTCATCTGTTAAAGCAGCTAGGGTTTTCCCATCATGCTCATGTCTCCATGGCCTCAGATGTTAAGTGTTGAAACTACCTCAAAATGTTGCTTATCTACACACTCAAAAATTAGAAACAGCAGAAACAGATTGAAAAAACAAGCTTCAAAGTGCACCTGTAGTAGTGATTTTTGGAGGGTTCTGAAACTGAAGAATACAAATGAAACATATAAATGTACAGGTATAAATGTAAATTTCTCTCTGTATGTAGAGAGATGTATGTAGACATTGCTGTCTATGTACAGAGAGATAGAATTATTCTATTTAGGGTAGAATAGTATATTGCAATTTATTCATGCTAATAAGCAGGAATCATGGGCATTCTCTCGAAGGAGATGCCAGAAGACAATTCTGCAGGATACATTACTAGGGATAAAAACAAATGAAAATTGAGTACATCGGGAGTCATTTCATTTGATAAAGCCCTTCAAGTATGATGTACAGACCAGACAAGTACTCATAAATCCTAAAGAAAACCTGGAATAGGATGTTTCCTGGAGACAGGGCTCTTTTCTAATGTGACATGAATCTTCAATGGAAGATACAGAGTAAAGGACAGTAAGGAAATATTTTTAGATTAAAACTAGGGAGTTAAATATATTAACTCAAGTAGTAAGCAAGCAAACAATAGCTAAAAATCAGACTGTATACAAGTAGTTTATACAGTAATCCAGAAATAATGCCCAGGTAGCACAGAAAAAGCACCTATTCTGGTAAGCCTGCAACTCGAACAGTAATCCTCCTGGATCTGTGTAAATAAAGTGACATTAACCCAGTGCTGGATCTGTCCTGACACTTCTAATCACTCTTTGCTATACAGATTAACTTTAATGAACTGAATAGCAGGGAGTAATAAACACAGGAGCAGCAGGAAACCTCTTGTTGCACCACTGGAAAAGAATAAGTCTTTAGCTAGTAATTGGTATGAAATTTCTTTCTGCTTGTCACTAAATTTTATAAAGAAGGAAGAAAGAAAGGAAAATTTCAGGCTACTCTGGATCTCATCTTCAAACATGCACTGTGTAACAGTACATGTGCTACCTGTCATCTTACCTTCAGGAAGCAAAGCTGTTGTGGTGCTTGTTCTTCCTCCATTTCTTCCCACCATCATTTCCACAGCATTTTCTAGAAAACAAAGAGCAGACTACTTAAAACCATTCTTTCACATCTTTTCCTCTAATTTCTCTCAAAACTCCTTATCAATAGGGCAGGAAAATTCCCTAAAAGACATTGGAGAAACCTTTTGTTTAAGAATTGTTTGAATAGGAGAATGCTATTTCCCCTAAGAAATGCAGTTTTATCAGAAGCTTAACTGATCCAAGGGCAGGCTGTAGCTATAATAGGTGGTTCATCCCTCACAGCCTCCCTTGTATTGGATCAAATGACCATGAGATCAAATATATTAAATTAATACTGATCCAACAAACTAAGGCTTCCAAAAAAAACAAATAAAAATCCCCAGCTCCATCTGATGGAAGACACAAATATGTCATCAAGGAGGCAGAGTAGGAGTAAAATAACTTTTCAGTAACAGCTGAAATTGAGAAATTCCCTTAAATTGGGAAAGGGCAACTTAAGTATTCTGTACTCCCTACTTTGCATTATGCATTACCTTACTGCCTTATATTTCTTGAATCCTCTATGATCTAATGGTGTGATTACTATTTACTCCTAAAAGGCTGAATTTGCCTCTACCTTCTCCTCCCCAGTGTCTCTATTTTTTTTTCCTTTTCTTTTCATCCAAGGTGTATATGTCAAAGTCTCACTAATGAACCATAATAAATTCATCAAAAGTAAAAAGACAGCAGCTGTTCTGGGATCCCTCAATCCAGTGTATAATGAAACCTTCAGCTTCAAGGCAGATCAGACAGACCTGGATACAGCAAGCCTGAGTCTATCTGTGTTCCAGAATATCGACAGAGACAGTAAGATGTATCAATTACTTAAGATGTCATAAATCTGTTACATATTGTAGAGGCATTTTACATCTAACAAATTCACTCCTTTTTGTCAATAATCATTAAACAAATGAACAAAGATTTAGGGTATTTTACAGCTGTTTCCTTAAAGAGGCAGAACGGCTTATTTGCACTAAATGTTTGTCCATCTTCAAAGGCTAAAAAAATTACACAACTAGAACTACATAGACTAGTCACTGTGCATATATTAAAGCAGCTATCCTTTGGTTTCATTTTGGTGACCTAAGAAAACAAGCTCATGCAATTATGTCTGTGAACATTTGTGCTTACAGCTCGCAACTCATAATTTTTCAAACAATTAACCATCCTTAACCAAATTTGAAAGAGGAAAAGAAGTTTTAATTATCACAATAGTTCAAGTGATGAGAGAGGAAAGATATTACAGACATGGCCTATCCCTGGCAAAAATACTGATGCTTGGAGTCTGTTCTTACTAATTGCTGGAAACTCCATTAAGGAGGACTGCTGAGAGCACACCAGAATGCAATGCTTCGGCTAGTCACGAGGCAAACAGCTCTTCCTGCAGTGCAAATATAACCTCAATAATGAAACATTAGTACCCTTCCTTTGGATTCATACTCTTAAGGAATTTCTTTTAGTCTTTTAGATGTTTAGATGAGATTTCAGTTTGTTGTGGGTTTTTGTTTGTTTTTCCCTTTGATGCTTGACAAGGAGTTTAATGGGATTGATAAATGAATCTTTCATCATTTGCACTTGTAGACAACCAAGTGCTTAAGGCAGGTTCAAATTATTTTCCTCATGTGCAGCTGCAAGTTCAGACATCAAGAAATGATCTACTCATTGGCAGAGGGTGGTCAGTGTTAGAACATGAAACAGACACCATGTACTGTGACCCTCAGCTGATGCTCCAGTACTTAGGAATATTCCTTCCCAAGCAAGGGCACTATCTGAATCCTACCAAGGTTGCTGATGCCCAAAACTAGGGCACAGTTCCACAATAAACTTGAGGTATATGGTCTGGCAAATAAAGATATGTGCACCTTAAATTGACTCATTTACAGCACAGGTAGAGTAGGCCTGAACTTACTGCAGTAAGTTTTAATGATGAATTTTAGCATGTAGCTAATAGGCAAACACAAGATTCAGAGCATATTTCTTGATGAAAACTTGGGTTTGAAAAGAACTTTATGGCTTCTATCTCAGAAATAAAGGTTAACTTTGGTGTTGAGGATTCAGTTGAAGCACAGACAGGTGCTGATCACTAACTCCTTTCTTTTTTTCTCCCCAGAAAGCCAGCTGCTGGGGCGTGTAGTAGTTGGGCCCTTCATGTACACTCGGGGCAAAGAACTAGAGCACTGGAATGAGATGATCGGCAAGCCCAAGGAGCTGGTTAAACGATGGCATGCCCTATGCCACAGCACTTAAACAGCATCATTCTGAGGGCAAAAGACAACCCTTAAAATGGAACAGCTCTCCATTATTTCATTAAGAGTATAACAAGGTAACATTTTTCTTTCCTCAGACACAAAGAAAAGACCTAGCCCTTGGCAGGCTGCAACTCTTATCTGGCCTCTGTCCAAAATATTTTTCCATTTTAACCAGTACATAACAGAATAAACAAAGCAGGAAGATATAAATGCTGGATCTCCCAGCATTAGCATTTTGACTAGTGGACACAAAGTGGACACCTATCAGCACCTTTTTGTGTCCCTCAGCAGAGCTTTCTTAAGCAGTAATTCAGTTAGATATTCTCAGATGACCCCAACACACAACGCGTCATTGACACGGAGGGAGAAACAGAAACCTGCCCTCAAGTCACAAATGACTCAAGGCTTGCAGGAGTATTAAGTACTCAGGGAAAGTGCCACTAGGTGTTGACCCCTTACATGAAAGAGTCTGATCAATTAGCTTAAGACCCTGTGGCATAAATCTGTTTCAGTGGTAGTTTTATTCACTAAGTATTTTTTTCTGTAAAATAATTCAGATAAACCATCTTTAATCAAAATAAGATAAAAAAGTGTATTTTCTTGATTGTTCACTGGGGACCTGAACTCTGTGCCTTTCACGCCCTGCAATCATAAACCAGAAAAACAGACTATTGTAGTGGAACATTTTGTACAATTACATTCCAAGAGGATAGTAATCTCTGCAGCTGAAATAAAGCTGACTTCCTTTCAAACAGGCTACAACATTAATTCAATATATTAAAAATGAGGCTTCCCTGTGGAGATGACAACACTTTGTTTTGACCATATTGTTGCTGTCCAAAGTGAATACTGTGTATGAGAACATATCTGAAAGGAACTGTAAGTTAACAGACTCCACCTGATCCCCTACATTGGATTTATATGGTACCCTCATCTTGTGTCACTTACCACACCATTGGGTATAGGGAAGTTTGTGCCTTTTACATTTTGTTAAAGCTTATAAAAAACTCAAACTTAATTGTATCTTCTCCAAATGAGTAGTGCCAGTGTCCCCAAACGCAGAACTTTTTCATATTTTCCTCCTACAGGACTACTGCACCTGGTTTGGGAAAAAAGCTATATATAAATGTATACTAGCTGTATTACTATGATAAAGCAATTTTAGCAAATACACTGTCTGCACGTATGAATTGCCAAGGATGTTTCAAGAAGTTATGTTTACTAGCTTGTGCAGGCAGATACCTGTTATGCACAGTGTCTAATACCACCTCTAAAATAAAAAATGAGGGGGTTCTGTTCACTTGTCTGCCTTGGTGTACAATATAATAACATAACATATTGTGTGTGTGTGGTCTCTTTATGCTTCTTATGAAGTACCAACTATTTATATTTCCGTATTCAATAATTACAACTAACCTCATGCAGAACTATATTTCAATGCACTTACCAACGCACTTGATGTTGTTCAAAGTAACATAAATGAGAAAGGTCCTTTATGATTCTTCTGGAGCACCACAGCTATCCCAGGAAAGAGAGAGACAGGATTAAACAGGAAACACGAACAATATCAATAGTCATATGCAATGCAGTGTGTTGTTTTTTTTTGTTGTTTTTTTTTAAACTTAGTGCTTTTTACAGATCATCCATTTTTCATGCTTGACATATGCGATGAGATGAAGAGAAATGATTAAAAATTTTGAAGGTACTAATATTTACCTTTTGAATTAAATGCACAGCACAAACTCCAGTCCAACAAGTGCACCAGAAGCAGACATTATAAAATCATACAAAACGTGGCATCTTCCTCCATACTCCTCATGACTGTGATAAACATAAGTTCTGCAATGAATGCAGCATTTGCTCAATAAAAGCACAACTCCTTTAAGTGGCAATGAGCCGCAATTAATCAAATACCCTCAATGTGAAATCTGCAAGGATCTAACCAGAGAACAAGTACTATTTATGCTCTGCACCATTTTGCAGCCTCAGAGAGGCAGTTTATCTCAGAAAAATACTGAACAGTCAACTTACCCAACTGTTTTTGCACAGCAATCCTTTTAAATCTGTTGCTTTACTAAATCACACACAACCATCATTCACTCAGCCTTTTACTGATAAAAATCAGCATCAGAATAAAACAAGACTAAGAATTCAATTCATTTCTAAATCAGATTAAGGAAAGACTATTTGAAGATCAATGTTAAACTGATTAAATTGACTTAAGGTCTGCCAGCTTATGCTACTAGCAAACATAACAACTTGGTGATTTAAGGGTTCCATAAAATAATGTACCAGATTAATTAAGAGGTTTTACGCAGTTCAGTTGAATTGGTGCAACAACTTTTAGCTAAACAAAATTTGCTTCTCAAGCAAGATGGAGCATTTTAGCAGCACAGAAGACAACAGCACCAACATTGCTAGGGGAAAATGGCAAAAATTCTGCTGCTAAAATAAGGAAGGCAACCACAACATACGGAAAAGTTCAAAGAAATAACCAAGTTAGAGAGAAGACAGGATAAGATAAACAGAAGAAAATCTCAGAAATAAAACTATACCACAGAACTGTAACTATTTTATCTGTTACAGCCACCAGGGTTTCAACATTAGAAAACTTCTACTGGACAGAAGAGCCAAAGAGACACCAGCAAAAGGTTTTTATTAAGTTAAAACATAAGTACAAAAATATACTTTATGACAATTAATCAACAGTACAGTAGCAGTACATACAGTTAACAGATACTCCACACCAGTTCTTTTGTGTTTAGTATAAATTAAATACAAAATCCCTTCTTGTATTTTGACTTGCTTCCTTAATCTAATTCCTTTTTCTTCTATTTGCAATCTGCTTGTTCATATGCTGTCTGTTCACCAGCTATCGCAGAGGTCAATGCATCAGAGATCAGGATGAAAATTTAGCAGATGGAAATCCTTTTGCAAAGGATAGCTATTTTCATCAAGCACAAAATGGCTCCTAATTTCCAACAAATAGGATGCTTCTGTATCTGCCAGCAGCAAATGACACAGTTCTGCTATGATTACACGGTAGGTCATATCTGAGGAGGGCACTGCAAGACAGAACAATCCAATTCACTTTATGTTCCTAATGGCGCCTAACATGCAAGTTCTACCCCCATGAAATCAACATTAATTACTGGAAATGTAATTCAGCATCTGAACAGAAAATTAGATTTTGTTTGTAATCACTTTTTGTTTTCCAAATAATTCGTTAAAAATGCTCCTTGTTAAGTTGTAACACCAGTGAATCATATACAACACCTCAACAAGTCAAACGGGAAGAACTAGAAAAGTCTAGTTGAATTATTTAACCAAAGTATGGCAGCTATTGCCCAAAATTGGTAAGAGATTCTATTCTGTATACAGGGAATTCCATTTATTCAGCGTGTAATAAATGCTCATGCCATTTTACCCCTTATTCCTACTACCTTAGTTCTAGAATTCCAGCTTCTCCCACATTTGTTTCATGAAAACTGATTTTTTTCCTTAACAGTTTAATTCACTTTAATTTACAGTCACTTTGAAGCTGGTTATATATTAAGATATAAGCAGTCATGACACCTATCCAGAAAGAACATTTCATGCTAATTCTAATATAGTCAACAGTTATAAACTTCATTTTCATTGTGATCTTTGTGGCTCTTGATGGCTCCACAACAAAAACCCCATGGAACCGTACCTACTGATCTGTTCAGCCAGTCTGCAGGAATATTGAGGAAGATTTTTTCCATCAACTCTGATACCACATGAACGTAAATTTCATATCCTCCATCTTCAATTGTCATCAAAGCAGATCTAGATCAGAAAGCAGAAGATTCTTGAAACATAACTTTTTTTGTTGACACAAAATTTCTAATCAAAGTAATTCAATATAATAATTACCTTCCACCATTATAGCAGTAACTAGAAAATATCTATTCCTTCACCTTCTCTCAACCTGTACAGTCTGAGTATGAGCTCGACACGTTCCAAATAAACTACACAAGGTTAAAATAACCTCTGAGTCATCAGTAAGCTGTACTTTCAGACAAATGCAGATAACACTGTTTTTGGTATATCTGCTGTTTTTCCAAGGGAAAATGAGTACTGCACCAAATAATTTTTAAATCCTCAAAGTGTGCATGTAAATTAAGCTGAATTCAAGTTAAACATGCAATGTTTTGCCTGAAGCCCAGAGTTCAAGTCTTGAGTTAAAGTCATCCAAATTATCTAAAACAGACTGAAATTAGTGTCATTTATTTTTTGCCAAAAATGAGAAAAATAATCCTTACTCATTTATGGAGGAATTTTTTCAGGTTGGGTATTATATCGACCAGAAGGTCATATTAATAGTAGTAAAGCTTCCTCTCAGCAATCAACTTAGGGAACATCCTAGTTTTGTAATTCAATCCTTAGTTTTAATAATGTATTCACAATAGGCAAAAAAATAAACAAGCAGGCAAAACCCTTACTAAATCAGAGAGAAATTTACCTAACAGTAACACTTGGCTGGATGTGCATACAAAGAAAGGACAGTTGTCTCAAAAAATGACAGATACAGTTCCAACTAGTTTTCTAAAGACTGTCTTAGACAAGAGAACAGCTTCAATGCAGGATGAAATCCTGAATTATCCCAAGCCAGGTACAAGCAAAATAAGTATGTATATCTGCACACAGAAGTTTTCTATGTATGCTATGTGATTTATAATTAAGGAGAGCAAAGGCAAACAAATCCAAATACTTAAAGTTGCAACATTTTAAGAGTCAAGGACAGTCCTTGCTTTCAACTTAGTACACTTGACCAGTAATGTGGCCTCAGCAGCCTACTCTCCATAGGAAGGCAATTAAAACCAGCAGAATCTGTTGGTAGCTTAGCAGTCACTTCATCCCCCCACTGATGCATCCAATCAGTAAGACTAAGTGTCAACATATTTTCTAAGGCATTTTTACATTTCAGAAAAATGTAAAAAAATATCTACTCAGTTTTATTGATCTTGACTGATAACTGATATTGAAAAATGCAAACTCTTATTTACTTTAGGGA